TTTTTGAGACAGAGTCTCATTATGTAATTGAGACTGACCTGGAACTCACTACGTAGCCCAAGCTGGTTTCAAACTCACAGCAATCCTACTTTAGCCTCCCAAGTGCTGGGATTACAGTCGCACATCACCACGCCCAGCTGCAAATTTCATGATTTTAATTTGGTGGTTTATTTGATTTTTCTCCCTCCCTGTGGTGGTCTCTTTGCACAGCCTCTTTCACCTGCCTCTCCCTCTCCTGTTGGCCAGGTTGCCTCCTACTTAGCCTTCGGATTTCAGAGTGAGCCTTGGATCCTCGAGGAGGCTTTCCCTGAGTCCCTGGCTCAGTTCTGCTGCCCTCAACCTGCTCCCTGTTCTCCTGTGTGTGTCCTCCCTGATCAGTTTCTCTTGAACTCAGCAGACCACCTGAAGAGAGATGCCTAAATTTTTGCTGAATGAGCCAAAGTATAAATGAGTAAAGGACACTGAGCAGGCAGACTGTAGCCTGCAGAGACAATGTTGAAACTTCCTTGTCTTGGGATGGCCTTGGGTGGGTGTGTGCCTTCTTTTTCTGCAACCTCTGACCTGTGTGACCCTCCATCCCTTGGCTGTTCCCGTGCTTAGCCTCCGGAGGGCGTGGTGATGTAGGGTGGATAACTACAGGAAGTCGAGGGTCTTTCAAATCCCTGTTCTTAGACCACTCTGAGCTGGGGGTTTAGAATGATATTCTCATAGATACCTAGAAGCCCATTTTTCGTACAAAGTCATCTTCAAGTGATGTTTCTGGTTTAAAAAAATAACAGCTACCTGGTCTGATAAGTAGCAGGTTGCCAAATGGCTCGCAAGGTCTAACCTTCCAGACACAGAGAGGAACATGGTGTTGGCGCAGGAGGACCTCTTAAAAGGCTCCTAGGACAGCGTATTGGAACCGACCCCGGACACTAATGAAAGAGTAATCCTCCCTAAATCACCCCAAAGCTAGTAATCCCCAGGGCTGCATGTGGGTGATTAGAAAAGAAAGGTAAGAGCAGCTGTTTTTTTGTTCAGTTTAATTATGTCCAAGGGCCAGGGTGGGTGTTAATTTCCTGGTGACACTGCTGTAGGTGGAGAGAGGTGTTAGGTTTCTGCGGGCTGTGGGGACTGGATGTGCCAGAGTGGCTGCTGGCTTGTGTGCACACAGGAATTAGGCACAGCTTAGGGAGCTCAAGTTTGGGGGCTTTTAATTCCTGTCCTTTAGGTTGGAGACCTGGGTCGCCATGTGCCAGAGGACACAGCAGTGGTCTCACATGTCACCTTGTGTATGCACCTTAATTAATAGCACATCGCCCCCATCTTCCCACCTTCCCAACGACAAGCAGCAGGCCTGCTTCCAGATAGAAGTCAAGTTGTCAGGCAGCGGGGGGTATTTAGCCCTCCTAATCCCTTCAGCACGGCTCAAGGCCAGAAGTCACAGAATTGGACACCACCCCTTTCTGGGCTTCTAGTTCCAGATATTCAACTAGGGCGCTCTGGTGTGTCTGCCTGTGACCTCGCACACACAGCTCAGTGGTAGAGCACTTCCCTGGCATGCCTGAGGCCCTGGGTTCAAACCCAGTCTGAAAACTAAAGCAGAGCCTCTGGGCGTGGAGTGTCATTCCTCCCAACTCTTGTTTGCCTTCATGTATTCTTTCTACCGGACAGTGGTCCTGTCATCTGCCCAGGTGACACCTGAGCGACAACCTCAGGTGTTTTCTGGCTTACAAGCCATACCCAGTGGTGACAGTTCTCGTGCCTTCTACCTTGTGAGTGGCTGTCCCCTCTCACCCACTCAAGGATCCGTGTCGCTGCTTTTCCACACTGACCCCAGAGCTCTCCTGCAATACAGATCCGATCAGGTTGTCT